ATGCCTAGTTGACTTAGTCTCTACTTGAGAAAGAGAGACTAAGTCTAGGAAAACTTGGCTAACAAGAAATTGGGGTGAACTCAAGAAATTGATAGCCCCAATTAAATGGTTGAATCTAGAGATAGTAAGACCCGACTTGAGCATTTATCACGTGTTTTGTGCAATACTCATTTGGACTTGAGAAAGCCAAATTGGGCAAAATCACTCAAACTACCAAGAGGTATAGAGTGGGCAATTGCATGTGATTGCTATATTACAACCCCGACCAATCAAACTTGCCCTAGAGTTTACAACCCATTAGGTAACTACCTAGGTGGAAGCCATGACCCTAGATATTTTATCATTTGGAAAACAACCAAAACCAAAAATATTATCTTCTAGTTTTATAATTGCAATCAATAGTTTAAAGTAGAAGTAGATATAACAAACAAGAATGTGGAAGTGTAATCTAAGTCATATCGTACAATTACACTAAGCATATTCCTAATCCCAATTCTAACTCCCTGAGAATTCGACCCCGACTTGCATTGGGTTTTATTATTGCTTCGACCGCCTCATTATATATATTTGTGGTGCGAGTTTGGGCGACATCAGATGTAATGTGTCCTTTGGAGATACCTCAAAGATTCAAATCGAAGGGATATGTATTATTCTGATCTTCTGTAAAAATGATGGCCATAAGTTAATTCAAGTTGTTTATTATTTGCCAAAATTAAAAAGTATTATTCTAAGTTTGGTCCAACTTCTCGAAAAGGGATATGATATCTACATGAAAAATATGCATCTTTAGTTTAGAGATTCAAGTAGAATTCTAATTGCTAAAATGCATATGGCAAGGAATAGATTATTTTCTCTGAATCTTAATACAATTGATGCAAAGTGGTTGAAGACTAATGTGCAAGATGAATCATCGTGTTGGCACATGTGATTTGGGCACTTGAATTTTGATGTGCACAAATCAATGGGAGAAAAGTACATGGTGCATGAGATACCATCAATCAACCATTCCAATCAATTGTGTGAAGCTTGTCTTCTTCGAAAACATGCAAGAAGGAGTTTTTCAAAGGAGGCCATGTCAAGATCAACCAAGCCGCTCCAGCTTGTTCACACTGATGTGTGTGGACCAATCAATCTACTTTCCTTTGGTAAAAGTAAATACTTTCTCCTTTTCATTGATGACTTTAGTAGAAAGACTTGAGTTTATTTCTTGAACCAAAAATCAGAAGCTTTTGTTGCTTTTAAAATTTTCAAAGTACTTGTGAAAAAAGAAAGTGGCTATGAAATAAAAGCTTTGAGGTCCGATATAGGAGGCGAATTCACTTCAAAAGAATTTAATGACTTTTGTCAGTCTCATGGAATTCGTCTCCCTCTAACGGTACCTTATTCACCCCAACAAAATGGAGTTGTAGAGAGAAAGAATCGAACGATTCTTAATATGGCTAGATGTATGTTGAAAGCTAAAAGTATGCCCAAGGAACTTTGGGCAGAAGTTGTTTCTTGTGTAGAATATTTGAACAACAGGTCTCCAACAAGTAATGTTAGAGATCAAACTCCTCAAGAAGCATGGAGTTGAAGAAAGCCAAGTGTCAAGAACTTGAGAATCTTTGGGAGCATAACCTATGTTCATGTGCCACAACAAGGGAGAGCGAAGCTTGACGGTCGAAGTGTCAAGCATGTGTTTGTTGGCTATGATATGAGTTCAAAAGGCTACAAGTTATACAACCCAAGCAGCGGCAAGGTGGTGGTAAGTCGTGATGTTGAATTTGATGAAGAATTGGCATGGAATTGGTAGGCTCAGGAAGAAATTTCATATGATTTTCTTCCATACTTTGGTGATGAAGAAGAACCAGAGACCGTGGAACCTGTGTAAGATGCAACTCTACCTCCTTCACCTACTAATGTTGCATCTCCTTCTTCTCAAGAAAGTTCAAATGAACACCAGCAAAGGACGAGGAGCATTCAAGAGCTCTATGATGGCCTAGAAGAAGTTACTAATTTTGATTTTTTGTATTGACTCTTTGTTGATAGTGAACCAATGAACTTTGATGAAACTGTTACATACAAAAAGTGGAGACAATCCATGAAGGAGGAGATCGAGTCAATAGAGAAGAACAACACTTGGGAGTTAGCAACTCTTCCCAAGGATTATCGAGCAATTGGAGTGAAATGGATATACAAGGCAAAGAAGAATGCTCATGAAGATGTGAAAAGATACAAGGAAAAACTTGTCGCTAAAGTCTATAAGCAAAGGCAATGTATTTTCAAGAAGGAAGTAAAGCTCAAATATGTGAAGTCTCGTGATCAAGTTGCTAATATTTTTACGAAACCTCTTAAGTTTGAAGATTTCCAGAGATTGAGATCAAGTCTTGGAATGAAAAAGAAAAATCAAAATTAAAGGGGAGATTTGTGGGACCTACCTAATAAAAAAATGTGATTGGAGGAAAGAGCGGGAGTGATAGGCTTGCCAAGTTGTGCAATTTGCAAAGAGGCAAATCTGATTTTGCCAAAACCAAATCGATGCAAACTTGAAACCAATCGATTTGATTGGTTTATTTGGACAACAACTCACTCTATAAATAGCAATTTCGTTTCTTCATTTTGAGTACACCAAAAGTAGAGAGAAGCAATAGAAGTTAGAGAGAGTAATCCACATATTGTAGTCTGTGAGATAAATAGTGAGTGTGAGTAATATTGTAGTGAGGTGTTTAAAATAAAGAGTGTTATTTCTTTCGAAGTTGTAGTAGTCTCTTGACACTACTAAGCTGTAATATTATAGTGATAATATTGCCTCACTCGGGTATTGTATTTTATCCCATTAAAAGATTTGGTGTCGTTGTTACTCTCTTGTATTATTGTGATTTATCGTGTATTGTTCCTGGGCGGATATTAGTTTTCCCAACACTTTCGAGCATTTTGTATATGAAATATGTATTGCCGGAAAGGTTCTTCTTGTCCCGGACAACCTCTCTTCTTTTAGGATTCATAGAGTGGAGTTTTCCTTTAAGGTTAGATTCCACATATCTAATCGGCGGAAAGAAGCACCGGCTAATACTTTAATGGAGATGGGGGAAAGCGGGCTACTGGCAATAATACTAGATTAGAGGAAACCAACACTTGGTAGACGAAATCGATTATATTTTTTTAAAGTAAATAGGAGTAATTGTTTTCTTGACCCAGAATTTCAAAAACCACTCGGAGTCATTCTACATTTTTATTGTACTCGTGCTTTTCCACTATTAAGTGTAACGTACTCGTACACTATTAAGCCACCTTTACATGATGTGATAGGTACAATAATGAAGATTTAATGAGTTTAACTTACATATATTAACAACGAAAAATATTTTTTTATACTATTCGGTCAGTTTTACATGTAGTAGATAATCTCACTTATTTTGAAAATTATAAATTTCACTTTTTATTGAGCGTTACCTGTTATTTTAGGTGATCAATCTAATAATATAACTTTTTTTCACTGTCAGTTAAAAGTTAGACTTTTGGCGTGAAAGTATATACATTATTTATCGTCGGTAGGCAATTATATAAATTCTAATTGATTCATCAGGAAAATTTTAAGAGGACTCAAAGGGATTCTATAGTATTATTATAATATTCATGCTTTCGCAAAATTATGCACACTAACTATTACTACTTGTAAATAAAAACAGAAGATACACGATTTCCTGAAAACTAGAAATAGAAGATTTCTGCAAAAATATTAAATTTATATGGAACTATAAGTGTTTTTTCTAATTCAATCTCCAAACTAAATGAGTATCGAAATTTAAAGGGCATATGATTCCGATCGTGAACTGTAAGAACAAATAGTATTAATTTTCTCAATTTAGATGGATTAAGAAATTTGTAAGTACTTGAAGTAAAAGACTTGAATTCTTCATTTAGTTCAGTATTTGATTGAGATATACAAATAAAGTCGTAATAGAACTACTAGTAAATTGAAAATTTTGATGATTAAATTTTTAATTATAAATGTCTACTTAGTACATTAATTATTTCGAAACACAATGATTGAGATATAATTTGATTTAGAACAGAGCAAAGAGATGAACAAGCATCATATACAACGGGCATTTTTTGTCTTCTCTATATTATATGTATAGTGAGGCAGATGATAAGATGATGTCAAGCCTTAATCCTATTTAAAGATTTTTAGATTAGACCAGTAGACCTTTTAAAAATAGGAAAAACTATTATACGGAAACAATAGAGTTTAAATAAGGAGAAACTTTTATCACGATACTTTTAGTGTTATGTATATCTAACAAGGAAAATGGAGATTAAATAATAAGGAAAAACTTTTATTATGGTACTCGTTGAACTTATTATAGTGCTTAATATGCCATGCCATTATTATGGATTATATATGAATATGAGTAAAACAGAAACCAATTAACTTTAAAGTTTAAGAACTTTTAAATATACAAAAATATTATTCTTTCACGAAGAAATTAAAAAACAAAAACTAAAAACACGATGTAAAAAGAAATAGAAGTGCTATATCTTTATTTGGAAGAATAAAAAGAAAAAGTTCCTCTCACAACCCAATACATTATAGAAGCCCCTAGCTCCTCATTTACCTGTTATCTTCTCTTTCATTCCCTGATCGATAAGCAGCTGTAATTAAGCCAGTTAGTATATGCTTGAACATTATTAATGGATTCTTCCCCCATCAAGAACATGCCAAAAAAGCTCCATGCCACTGAAGAAGAAGAAGAAGAAGAAGAAGAAGCCAAATCCAAATTCGAGAAGCTTATATCTACGCTTCCAAAGGAAACACGCTGGAATGAATACATGGATTTGTATCAGTACCAAGGTTTTTGGTATCCACTTTCAGTGCTTCAAGATATCATTACTGTCCAAGAAAACTTTAGGTCTTCTATGCACGATATATACCTGTGTAGTGCTCCTAAAACCGGTTGCACTTGGCTCAAATCTTTGTGTTACGCCATTACAACCAGAGATCGATCGTTTTAATTAATATGGAAAATAGCCCTTTGCTCACTAATCTTACTCACGTTCTCATCCTTTCCTTGGAATTTCGTCCTTCTCCTAACACGGACGTCGCTCAAATTCCTCTTATAGCCACTCATTTGTCCTTCAATACTTTACCCAAATCTGTCCAATCTTTGGAATCTGGTGCAAAGATGATTTACTTGTGCAGTGAACCTAAGGACACTTTCATTTCTCTTTGGTATTTCATGCATAAATTCACGTGGCTGCAGCAAGGAGAAGATCAGTTGTCAGATATTGGATTAACTACAACAGAATTTTCAATTTCCTTCGAAAAAGAGTTGGAGCTGTTCTGTGAAGGGAAAACAATGTGGGGACCGTACTGGGATCATGTTTTGGGGTATTGGGAACAAGCCAGAATCGGTATTGTTTCTAAAATATGAAGAGTTAATAGAAGACACGTTGTTGTACGTGAGGAAATTGGCGGAGTTCATGGGAAAACCATTTTCAATGGATGAAGAGGAACAAGGGGTGCCAGAAAGTATTGTGGAATTCTGTAGTTTAATTTTGACAACTTGAGCAATTTGGAGGTGATTAAGAAAGGAAAGAGTCGGCCAACAGCCAATTGGCAGATGGATAACAGCACCTAATTCAGGAAGGGTAAGCCTGGAGATTGGAAGAATCATTTAACATCTAATATGATAGATACAATGGATCGTACCACACAAGACAAGCTAAAGGGGTCAAGATTGAAATTTGGTCAATCACTACAAATTCATAGGCAAAGAATTTCTTTCTTCTATAACATTAAAATCCTATTGTGTACGGTCAAAACCGATTCTCAGTCATAAAGACCGGTCGAGACAATGACGTTTCAATCGAAGGGTATCCGCATGGCGAGCTCGGACGAATTTCGAAGTAGAGACGTCGAGCTTCGAGCTATAAGACCAATCAACGGCAAAACTCGATATCATTATCGAGCCCGTGTCCGAATCGGACTACGGGGTAACACCGATCGATACAGGCCCCGAATATCGATGCTCCAAGGCAGAACCGAGCTCGAACTAAGACTGGGGATTCGATCTAGCACCAAGCTCGAGTCAGCGCCAAGCTCGCAGACAAGAGCCATTACAACCGCACCAAGGGAGAGAATCTTGGCAAGAATCAAGGAAGAGACAAACCATCATGGGTTCTCCACTATATGTATTATTTTATGTTGTTATAGATAAAGTAGTGACCCTCTACTATAAAAAGGGAGATAGACTGCAATAGAGAGAGGTCTCCAAGATACATTAAGATTTCATTGTGCTTGTTCTTCTAATATTTTTCAGTCTTCCCGTCTATCATTTCCCATTTCATAGCAAAAAATACCTGTATTGTCATTTTGTATCAAAGAAATTTGCATACCCTTAGAACCATATCTAAATTTAACGTTATCCGATTTTTCGGGTAAATAGTTTGGCGCCCACCGTGGGGCTAAGGGTAACGGTGATTGATTGATATAAATCTATAGTACACTCCAGCTTACAACTTCGAATCAGCCATGGCTCTACCTATCGACCTCTAAGCCGGCCTTCAAGATGAAACCAACAACTTGGTGCCCGGGGCCGGAACGCTACCTGACAACAGCAATGAGGCTCGAATCGAAGAACCCGAAATTCGAGCCGAAGTACCACTGGATATCAATTCGCAAATAGCTCTAGAAGCGAATCAGCATTCTGAACCGGAGAGAAGCGTTCAGGGCGGTGCTCGATCCATAGCCCGAGACACCTACAGCACGGGGGAAATCGGGGTCAGCTTGCGTATGATTTTTGAAATGTTACAAGCCCAACAAGCAGCGATAGCTCAATTGCAGAGCCGAACTCATACGCAAAGCGTGTCAAACTCCAATCCGCTTCTTCGAGAAGTCACCCCTAGAGCGGAACCCGCCGTAGTGAAATCAAACGAGCAGGAATTGGGGACCGCTCCTGAAATTGCTAAATTGCTCGAGGAACTCACAAAGCGAGTCGAAGCCAACGA